TATATATGTATATATATATACATATCGCATATTCGTATGACGTTTTGAGAATTACGTACTCACTTGCCGATGCATGCTTGATTCAATTCCCATTTGAGTTTTACTTTAATCTATATATGTTACAGGTCCTTCTTTCTAATCAATTATTGTTTTATGTGCCTCTAACATTTCAATACTATGTTCCTTTTTGTTTTATAAACGAGAAGACGGCTAAAAGTACACTTTTCAACATGTTCCTTTTGAGAATATTATTTACCTCGCAACATATATACCTAGTCAATTCAGTATCATGGCACACAGAAAAATGCGCCAAGTTAGAGGGAGAATCTCTACTATACACTGCTTTTGTAAAAGTATGCACAAATATCAACATAATCGATTGTATTGACATGCGTTATAGCCTGATATGGGTTATTTACACCGTTTTTGTAGGTACTCTTCATATCCGGCATGTATTCAGTATTGCCGCGAGGTGTCAACCAAGTCGAGAGTCGCGACTCAAATAACTGTTCGTTTTTTCTTCAAAATATCAAAGTCAAAAACCCATATTTTTGAAACAAATATTTTTACCCATAAAAATATTCAGTCTGTGTGTATTTGTTTTTAAAAATATTGCAATAATTTTTAATACAAAAAAACATGGGTTGTTGCAGTCACTTGCAGTCTTCCTATCTCGCAGACTGAGCTGGGTGTTTTCGAAAGTAGAATTTTCTTGAATCAGAACTTTTTTTTGTCAATATGTTCTTAGGTCTCTTGGTCAATACTAACCCTAAAATCCTTAAACAAAAGAGGGTGTGTGAAACTGTGAATCAGGCATCACAGTCATCAATGATCAAACTGGATAGTTTTTTAACTCATGGTTCTGCCCTTCGTTATCACTAATGTTTTTCTTTTAACAATTTATACGAGTTTGTTTTCAAATTCACTTCGGCCTTCAGAACTTTAAAAAAATAATTTACCATACAAGGACAATCGTGTAATATTTTTTAAAACAAAAGGGGAGGAGTGTATTTATCAGTCTAATGGTGGGTCCCTTGGGGTGGGGTTTGTTTTAAAATTGTTTATCTTTTTTTAAAGTTTTATCTTTTTTTGTGTTTGTTTTTAAAAAAATATACAAATACTGTGTTCAATCAATGTTGTGTAAATAGAATTTCGACTTCAGAAGTCCCAGAGTTCATATGTAATTTCAAAAAATTGTGTTCGAGTTGTGGTAAAAAATTAAAATACATTTGTACATATGTGGGACTCGAGAGTCGAGACAAGACTTGAGACTTGTGAGAAGTTGAGAAGGTGAGAAGTTGAGAGGTCACTCTGTGTGCGAGAGTGACGAGACTTCAGAGGTAGTTCAGACCAGGTCGTAACTCGGGACTCAGGAACTCGGGACTCAGACCTCAGCCTCTGAGGCTAAAATCAAACTGTTTTCCGTTAAAACTCTTATAAATCGAATAAATATACGTTTACGTTCAACTTTTTTTTTCATATACGGTACTTTGTATGCTCGCAGGTGCTCCTTGTGGGTCTAAACATTTAAGTGTGTACCATTTTGACTCTACGAACAGTTGCCTTAAGATAGTCGGCCAAATGACCCCTCCTGCCTCGACCCCAGGAGCACGAAATAATGACCCGATGCGAGAGTTTGATAGCGGAAAATGCTCAGGGAGACCTGATCTGAAATTTTTGGACACATTTTTGATTTTGCACCCGTTTTCAAAACCCGATTCTGACTGATTTGGGAAATATTGGCCGCTTTTTCAGTATTCACCCTTCCAGTACGAATTTTGGACTTTTGAGGCCAGAAATCGACATGCCCCGGTCATTTATGAGATCTGTCGAACTGTCAAAATATTGATATTGATATACCTTCAGGTCGAAAAGAATATTTATGTGTGTGACCCGCACATTAACGCTATCCTTGAGTTCAGTGCAGCAATCACAGTAGTATTGATAATAAGTTCAGTGCAGCCCAGTAGTATTGATATTACATATGCGTATTTCTCCCGAAGTTCCATTGCGAGTACAACCCCATCGAGCGATATCGGGGCCGAGCCTTTGAGGTGCGAAAAAAATGCGATGATAAGTGGGCAGGCCTTCAAAAACATGTCATCGAAGCTCTGAGCAATGTTAAACTGGATACAATTAGATGCTTTGTGAGGGGTGCCTATCGTTACCTCGATTGCTATGATAAGGGTCTTACTCTGCAACTTGCAGCATTTGCGAAAAGAAATATACGTCTCATCGACGTGTACCTGAGAATGTATATGAAATAGTCACCGCCGAGATGGCTAATAAAGTACTGTTATATTTTTTACTATAACCCCGAGACAGCTTTAATTAAAACATCATCCATTCTGTATGGGCTTTTCTGTAGGATAGACTTCTACTATTAAAAGACATACAGTAATCAGTTCTGATACATGTGGGCATGGGCAGTGTCAATGTTGGCCACCCCAGGTCCATATAATATATATTGGCCGCCCCAGGTCCATATATTGGCCGGTTCAAAAATGGCCGGATTTTCTATGGCAGTTTTGGCTTCCTCTCAACCAACCTAATCCCACCATACAACCCGATTTTGAGAAATCAATATATAAAAAATCGGGGTGCAGGCAACTGCAAACCCCCGTTACGTAATGAGCTACCTAATCCCACCATACAACCCGATTTTGAGAAATCAATATATATAAAATCGGGGTGCAGGCAACTGCAAACCCCCGTTACGTAATGAGCTTGGCTCTCGGGACTCATTTATTTTATGTACATTTTAAAATATAGTTGTGTTGGCATCTCAATTCTCAAATCTCAATACAGTACTTAGAAGAGTTGTGTAAACACAACGGCCTGTTGGGAGGCTGAGGCTTGAGAGTTGACATTGGGCCTGGACTCCTGGGGAGTGGAGGCTGGGCGGCTACCGGCTGGGGCTTGGGCCTTAGGCCCCGGGCCTGTGGCTGTGTGAGTGTCAGTATTGTTATGCTCTAGACTCGAGAGTCGAGATTCGAGAGCAGACTGGTCGAGAGTGATTGCCTGGGTAATTTTCGTCTGAAGTGGAATGGGCGCGGTAACGAATTGCGCCCTTTCGCCTCATTACTCATTTGTCTTTTTGAAAATAATATCGACACTTTCAACTTTCAACTTTCAAAAATCAACAATATTTACATGCAGTTTCAAGATAAAATATGTATTTTGTTTTTAAAAACAAATACATACAAATATATAATATCCAGTTTTCTTGTTTTTGTTTTTTAAATTCCCACTTCTAGGTTTCTTTTTATAAAATCAGCCTGTAGCCCGCTGTACATATTTTTTATTGGACTGCCTTCAAAATATTGATAAACCCTAAAAAGGGCAGGGCCCGACCGCCTCGGTGACTCAGGACTCAGGACAAACCTGCTCGCCCTACGGCTTACTGCCTACAAATTTTATAATAAGTGCTGTAATATATATAATTTATACTGCGGTAACTAGTTTTTATACACTTTTAAAAACAGGACAGTAATTTTTTAACACATTCCCATAATATTTTTTAGGTATGTACTTTCTCTTTGATACAAATACTCATACAGCATACAAAATTTAAATATATACTCGCTCGTCTGAAGCAGTCTGTACTCTGTAGTCTGTACTATACACAGTACTTCGTCTTTTTTTTATTATACAATATTAAAGATACTTACATACATGCTGATGCAAACGAAAACAGTCCTGCAATTGTGATACAAAGTCTGCACTCTGCACTCTGGTTTCTGCAGCACACTCTGGGGGGGGAGGACGTGGCCCTTTCGGGAAACATCGATCCCCCCTGTGCTGGGAAATGTTTCATTTTCTCTCTCACTCCAGTCTCTCTCTCTCTCACACACACACTCTCTCTCTCTCTACTACTACTACTACTACTTCTACTCTCTTGTGTTGTGTGAGTAGTAGTAGAGAGAGAGAGGGTCAGGCGGTCAGCAGTTCAGCACCATCAGATATTCATATGTATAGTCATTGTATTTGATACATTTAACTACTTGCATCATGTCATTACGTATGCTTTCAAAATTTAATTGCTTGCTCTTGTGTAAAGAGTAAAAGGCAAAAAAAGAACTCATTATAAAATATATTTAGAGTCACCTAGAATTTTTTTCACAGCTGTTCATTGTTCAACAAAATAACCAACAATAAGAGACTGGAGTCTGCCACTGGGTTCGAAGTTCTTACATGACGCCTATAAATACTGGCTAATATTTTTGTTTCATTGTATAGTTCTTCGCAACGATAAGAGACAAATCAAGCATCTAACAATCACCATGAGGTTTCTACTCAGTGTCTTACTAAGTTTGACAGCTACCACAGTGAACGCGTGTAGTTGTCTTCCAGCCACAAATGAAGAGATTTTTTGTAAGGCGGATACCGAGAATCATGCGTATCACGCATTAGTTGGAAAGCTGATTAGAATAAATGACGAAACCAAAACAATGCTAGTCCGGGTACTAAGGGCGTACAAGGGAGCCAAACGAGGGGATAGGTTGACGATCCGTTACGGTACACCCGATAGACCTCCCACTTCGTGCGACATTAATATGTCGGTCGATAATGTGGGCAAGAAATTCTTGATGACTGGTACCACTCGCTTGACAGGCGAGGATGCAGGAGATATTTCCTTGGATGGATGTGATATACTAAGATCATGGGATTCACTGGAAAGAGCAGAAAAGGCCGAGTGGCAGCGTTTCAAGAGAAACTCAGACGATTACTGCCAAGAGCCTGAGGATCCTTGTTCGGTACTAAATGCCTGTCCCCAGGATGCTGGTTGCCAAGCCGTCAACGGTATTGCAGAGTGCATATTTGATGAACCTTTCATTCACCCGGAGCCCGAGCCCCCCATTGTGGAAGATACAGGACTGGTTACCACTTGTGCCACGGACGGCTGTGGCGAAAATACTGATCTAGTGTGCGTCGATGATCAATGTGTGAAACTCGTAGCAGAAGAACTAGAACCATTTATTATCGAATTGCCGGAACCAATTCCGTTTACTTGTGCGAAGTATGGCTGCGGCGAAGACACCGGTTTAGTGTGCGTGGATGATGAGTGTGTGGAGCCCACAGACGATCCCGTTCTCATTGTATTGCCCGAACCAATTCCCTTCACCTGCGCCAAGTATGGCTGTGGTGAGGATACTGGGTTGGTATGCATAGATGATCAGTGCGTGAAACCTCCAGCTGAGGTAGAATGTGGCTTTGTATGTCAGATCTATTGCCCGAATGGGAATGTTATGGATGCGAATGGGTGCCCGACATGCGCGTGCAACCCGTAAGCTGATATGCTTTACAACTAGAAAGGTTCAGATAAGATTGGCAGAAACACATCCAGTGCCCGTGAATTGTCACAGATTGTATAATATAGATTTTGAAGAAACATTAGACATTTACAAAAAATAAACAATATCTATACAGTGCTTTTAGGTCTCTTGCTATACAGTATACATTCATAGGCGTATCTGTTATATTGATGGCTGTGAAATTCCATATCCCTCTTGACTTTTGACTTTTGACACAGCCTCGCGGTCACAGGAGGCTATGGAAATTCACATTATTTACTCAAAATATTTGCTCTTTTTGGCTCTTTTATTAAAAAAAACCCTTATTTACATCTAATTCTTCGAAGCTTTTCATGTCAGCCTGTACGCTGCATACATCGATGTTTTGCGACTCCTCGTGTCCTCAATCGGCGGCCACTGATGTTGTTGCAGATGTGCACACATGCCTTACTTTGCCCTCAGTTGAAGTTCTAAACCTAACCAATTTGCGGAACGTGTGCACGTAGGCCCGTGTATCACTGCAATGTGGCCGATGACTATGTACAAGCGCGTACAGTCGTATCTGTACTATATGCAATTATGGGCATGTACAAGTGCACCATTCCACTGCATGTCATTGCTGCAACAGAGGTGGATTTAAAGTATATCCACCTCATCATCCAAGTTCATATTAAACTTCGGCAGCGCCTCTCTGATCTGCACCACATCCTTATCCCCCCGCCCACTCACGCACAGCAGTACATCCTGATCCTTGGGCAGCGACGCTGCTAGTTTGATGGTATGGTACACCGCGTGCGAAGTCTCCAACGCCGGGATGATACCCTCTTTACGTGACATGAGCATGAAGGCTTCCAGCGCCTGCCTGTCCGTTACTGCAACGTACTCTGCGCGCCCCAGCACTTTGAGGTGCGCGTGTTCTGGACCCACACCGGGGTAGTCCAAGCCCTGAAATGAAGGACAGGTGCATGAGATGTATGAGAAACGATATATGGAGGTGGGGTGGGGGGGGGCCTCTCACCGAAGTACCCGATGTAGTAACGACAGTGGGGGCAGGTTACGAGACACGCACACGACCACGCAGTGGTCTGGCGAGAGAGGAATAGAACGTATGGGTAAATCCATAGGAACTAAGCGTAGGAATAGAACGTATGGGTAAGTGAATCCATAGGAACTAAGCGTCGCATACAATCCTATTACCGGACGACAACCATACAACAACCATGTGACATCCATACAACAACCATTTTAATAGAACGTATGGGTATATGAATGCATAGGAACTAAGCGTACGCATACAATCCTACTACCATAAGACAACTATGCAACCATGTGACAACCATACAACAACCATGTGACAACCATACAACCATGCCAAAACTATACAACAACCATATGACAACCATACTCAGGCTTAGCCAACACGTACAACAACCATAGGAATAGAACGTATGGGTATATGAATGCATAGGAACTAAGCGTACGCATACAATCCTATTACCATGCCACAACTATACAACAACCATGTGACAACCATACAACAATACAACAACCACACAACAACCATACAACCATACAACAACAATACAACCATACAACCATACAACAACTATACTCAGGCCTAGCCAACACATACCGCACTGATACTGTGGGTCTCCTCGATCTGCCCTTTGCTGTCCTGCAACAGGAATGTGCGTGTGCCGTGTAGCACACCAGGCACTCCCGCAGTCAGAGTGGCCGAGTGTCTGCCGGTGTCAATGCCTGCAGGTAGTGTGTATTAAAAACACATGTGACAATAAGAAATACGTGAGGGAGTAAGCTTGCGTCCATGCCTGGGGGTAGAGTACGTCTTCATATAACGCGTGTGAGAAAAGTATTTACGTGCGAAACACACTAACCAAGTGATAGATGAGATGATCGTCGGAGATGACATCCATACAGAAAGGCAATTAACAACATCAAACCAGTAGACAACCACATGTAAACGACACGCCATGATGGGACTAGATAGGATCGGGCTAAGACATACGGTCACCCACTGCTACTACACATCTAGAGACAGTCTGCACGCTTTGTCTCCTGAGAAGGGGTGGGGCAGATCGATACCTACCCATGCCAAGATATAGGAAGGTAACATGACATGCGTACAAGACGGTGACAACAGAGCTTATACAGATACATACATACATACATACATGTAAATGTACATGTGTACACATACATATATATATATATATACAACACACAACACACACACATA